TCTGGTGGATCAGCACCTGCCGCCCGCCGGGGTTCCGCACCACCGAGGCCCAGTAGTCGCCCTTGCCGTGCCACGTCACCTGCGTCACCGGCTGGAATGGGATTGGGAATGGGAATGGGATTAGGAATGGGATCGGGAATGGGATTGGGAATGGGAATGGGATTGGGAATGGGAATGGGAATGGGATTGGGATTGGGATCGGGAATGGGATTGGGAATGGGATTGGGAATGGGAATGGGAATGGGATCCGGGTGAGATCCCGAAATCCCGACCCTATGGATCACCCAGGCCCAGTAATCGCCCTGGCTGTGCCACGTCACCTGCGTCACCGGCTGGAACGGGATTGGGAATGGGAATGGGATTGGGAATGGGATTGGGAATGGGATCCGGGTGAGATCCCAAAATCCTGACACTATGGATCACCCAGGCCCGGGAATGGCCCTGGCCATGCCACGTCACCTGCGTCACCGGCTGGAACGGGAATGGGATTAGGAATGGGATTGGGATTGGGATCCGGGTGAGATCCCGAAATCCCGACCCTATGGATCACCACCAAGGCCCAGGAATCGCCCTGCCCGTGCCATGTCACCTGCGGCACTGGCTGGGACGGGAATGGGATTGGGATTGGGAATGGGAATGGGATTGGGAATGGGATCTGGGTGAGATCCCGAGATCCCGACCCTATGGATCACCACCGAGGCCCGGGAATCGCCCTGCCCGTGCCATGTCACCTGCGTCACCGGCTGGAACGGGAGTGGGATTGGGATTGGGATTGGGAATGGGAATGGGAATGGGATTGGGATCGGGATTGGGAATGGGATTGGGATCGGGATTGGGATCCGGGTGAGATCCCGAGATCCCAACCCTATGGATCACCACCGAGGCCCAGTAGTCGCCCTTGCCGTGCCACGTCACCTGCGTCACCGGCTGGAACGGGAACGGGATTGGGAATGGGATTGGGATTGGGAATGGGATTGGGATTGGAATTGGGCCACGTCACCTGCATCCCCGGCTGGGAACAGGATTGGGAATGGGATTGGGATTGGGATCGGGATTGGGATTGGGAATGGGATCCAGGTGAGATCCCAAAATCCCGACCCTATGGATCACCACCAAGGCCCAGTAGTCACCCTTGCCGTGCCACGTCACCTGTGTCACCGGCTGGGAACGGGATTGGGAATGGGATTGGGAACGGGATTGGGAATGGGATTGGGAATGGGAATGGGATCCGGGTGAGATCCCGAAATCCCGACCCTATGGATCAACACCAAGGCCCGGGAATCGCCCTTGCCGTGCCACGTCACCTGCGTCACCGGCTGGGAACGGGAACGGGATTGGGATTGGGAATGGGATTGGGAATGGGATTGGGATTGCGATTGGGATTGGGATTGGGAATGGGATCGGGATTGGGATCCGGGTGAGATCCCGAAATCCCGACCCTATGGATCACCACCGAGGCCCGGGAATGGCCCTGGCCGTGCCACGTCACCTGCGTCACCAGCTGGAACGGGATTGGGAACGGGAATGGGATTGGGATTGGGAATAGGATTGGGATTGCGATTGGGATTGGGAATGGGATCAGGATTGGGATCCGGGTGAGATCCCGAGATCCCGACCCTCTGGAATGTCCCAGAGCTCCTCGGGGTGGGAATGGGAATGAGACTGGGAACGAGAACAGGAATGGGATCCAGGTGAGATCCCGACCCTCTGGATCATCCTGGAGCCCCTCGAGGTGGGAACAGCGGGATCAGGGAAGGGCTGAGGGTGAGGGTCTGGCTGGTGGGTCCAGAGATGGGAATGGGATTGGGAATGGGATTGGGAATGGGAATGGGGGAATTCCCGGGAGCGGCTGAGGGAGCCTTGGGGCTCATCCCAGAGAAAAGTGGGATCGAGGGGATCCGGGGGGAGTTTGGGATCTGCTCCATGGGAAAAAGGGGGAATGGCCCCAGGTTGGGATTTCTGGGAATATTCCTCTGGAAAGGGCTGGAATTCCGGGATCTGGGGCCTCGGGAAGCAGGGCAGGGGCTGAGGATTCCCGGGAGAAGCCAATCCCAGTTGGAATTCCTGCGGCTCTGGGAAATGTTCCCAGAAAACGGGGCTGGGGAGGATCCCCCTGCTGGGAAAGGCTCCGGCACTTCCCGGGATTCCCGGGAATGGGAAGGGATCCCTCGGGATGTGGAGCTGGGAACAAGGATCCTCCTGGAATTGCAGATGTGGGAACGAAGCCCCTCCCTGGATCCTGGACCTGGGATTGATCCACAAAAACCCAAATCTCGGGAATGCCGATCCCAACAGGATCCCGGGAATGCCGATCCCACCCAATCCTGGGATCACCAATCCCACCAGGATCCCGGGAATGCTGATCCCAGCCAGATCCCGGGAATGCCGATCCCAGCCAATCCTGGGCACGCTGATCCCATCCAGATCCTGGGAACGCCGATCCCACCAGGATCCTGGGAATGCTGATCCCACCCAATCCCGGGAACGCTGATCCCACCCAATCCCGGGAATGCCGATCCCAGCTGGATCCCGGGAATGCCGATCCCAGCCAATCCCGGGAATGCCGATCCCATCCAGATCTCGGGAATGCCGATCCCACCCAATCCCGGGAATGCTGATCCCACCCAATCCCGGGAATGCCGATCCCAACAGGATCCTGGGAATGCCGATCCCACCCAATCCTGGGATCACCAATCCCACCAGGATCCTGGGAATGCTGATCCCAGCCAGATCCCAGGGATGCTGATCCCACCCAATCCCGGGAATGCCGATCCCAGCCGGATCCCGGGAATGCCGATCCCACCCAATCCCGGGAACGCCGATCCCATCCGGATCCCGGGAATGCCGATCCCAGCCAATCCCGGGAATGCCGATCCCACCCAATCCCGGGAATGCCGATCCCATCCGGATCTCGGGAATGCCGATCCCATCTGGATCCCGGGAATGCCGATCCCACCCAATCCCGGGAACGCCGATCCCACCCAATCCCGGGAACACCGATTCCACCCAATCCCGGGAATGCCGATCCCAGCCGGATCCCGGGAATGCCGATCCCACCCAATCCCGGGAACACCGATTCCACCCAATTCCGGGAATGCCGATCCCAGCCAGTCCCGGGAATGCCGATCCCAGCCAATCCTGGGAACGCCGATCCCACCCAATCCTGGGAACGCCGATCCCACCCAATCCCGGGAATGCCGATCCCATCCGGATCCCGGGAACGCCGATCCCACCCAATCCTGGGAACGCCGATCCCATCTGGATCCCGGGAATGCTGATCCCATCCGGATCCCGGGAATTGCGATCCCACCCAATCCCGGGAATGCCGATCCCATCTGGATCCCGGGAATGCCGATCCCACCCAATCCCGGAAACGCCGATCCCACCCAATCCCGGGAATGCCGATCCCA